GTTTCTACTGGTGTCAACTCACCAAACTACTATCATATGTAGAAACACCGGTGGGACCGAGTCGTCCCCATCCCCAAGTCCCATACAAGCGTCGCCACGGTACACTACCAAGACCAAATCACCACTGTCATCACCGAGACTGTTTTCATTCAGCAATGAGGGCAGCTGTTTAGGTAGCTCGGATGAAGATACGCCTTGGAAGTTCATGATCCATCTGCATGGCGTGGATGGGCTGCCGCCTGCTACAGTACCCAAAAGGTATGGACATATACATGTGCACTTGGTTTGAGAGTGTAGGTACTTGTATGGTAGGTATGGATATCAATTGTGATGCGGCCTGTTCATGAAGTACCCCTTGGTAGCTTATGGTACAACTAAATTGCCTAGATGAGCGGCCGCTAGCCACAACACCTCCAAAAATGTTCGTATGCGTTCGAACGTATTGCAAGTTTGTACGTAAACGTATACATTGGGATTGGAATACAACTCCGATGTAGTCTGAACGTAGAACACCGGAGGATCCTTGTAAGTGGCTCAGGCGAAGACACATCTTGACCTTTCGTATCTGCATGGACGTGGATGGTCTATTGCTGACCACTGCACCCCAAAGTTATACGAACGTGTTCAAATATGGGGGTTTTCTGTACACATAACAGGCGCACAAGGTTCAAACGGACACCCCTATAAACTTTGCCAAACACTACACAGATTAAGTCTGACAACCAAGACATCTGGTGGACTGGCACCGGTTGCTAGTATTAAACATCAGACCTCTGTGGGAAAGAACGTTCCTTGTAGTGTCAGTGTACTAGACGTAGGACTACGCTTGCACCGATACACCCGTATGTCGCAATGCTACACAAGACATACATGGCCGTTCACCGTACCACCCCTGGGGGCTATATCTAGCCCGCATGAGAAACACACACACCAGTACATGTGTATACTCGATAGAGCCCACACTTGCACAGTCCATGGACTGTGTCGCCCGTTGGTAAACAGTCCATGGACTGTGCCGCCCGTTGGTTTGGGCCGTTCGTCAGTAATCAGACTGAGACTGACGCCAAATCACATAGTACAATGTCGATGTAGATATGCGTACTAGTAGTTGCACTTATCCTTCTCATCCCGATGCTGAAATAATACGCTATGCCTGGAACAGCGTAAAACAGCACAGATGTCATTTAATTTGTAGACTTAATTACCTACACTGACACAGTCCATCGACTTCGACTCCCGTTGGTTTGGAACCGTTCGTCAGCATAAAGACTGAGACCGAAGCCAAATCAAGATTACCCGCCAAATTAGCCACCTCTCAGGTGAAGTTAGGTGGGAAACCGTATGCTCTGTGGGACTCTCTACTGACACTTACTGTCCCAGATGGCCAGGTAATTTTGTATCTATAGCAAGTATGTGTGTGTATGTAGAGCTTGTTATATATATATATATATATATATATATATATATATATATATATATATATATATATATATATAATATATATATATATATATATATATATATATATATATATATATATATATATATATATATATATATACTACACCACCACCACCACCACACACACACACACACACACACACACACACACACACACACACACACACACACACACACACACA